AGAAATTTAAACAAAATAAACTTACAACAGAGAGAGAGAGAGAGAGAGAGAGAGAGAGAGAGAGCAATTTTACCACTAACCAATACCAAAATAATCCCACTCAAGAATTAAATAATCTAAAAAACAAACCTAACTTAAATGCTAACGAACAAGCAAGAATTAAGGAGTTAGAAAGAGAGTTAAAAGAAAAGCAAGTTGGGCAGAAAGAGAATAATTATAAGTTATGGTTAGGGATTGGTTGTGGAGTTTTAGGAATGAGTTTAGTGGGGTTAGTTGTTTATTTGGTTAGGAAGAAAGAAAAATAATGGTAAACGCCCAGGAATGATTAGAACAGAACTATCCTAATAAAAATCAAGTAGAAAGCATTCGTTTAGATAATTGAATGAGTGCTTTAGAATTCGACCAACCTAGTGAATTAGTTATTGAAAATTATCCTAATTTAAAGAGAATATATAGAGAAGTCTTGCCAATACCAATTTTCAATGTGACTAAGGTAGTCATTAGAAACTGTTCCCAATTAGAGCATGTGAACCTTAATAGACTCAAAAATAATCAAGAACTAATTTTGAATGATTTACCTAGTTTAAAATATCTTGATTGTGGATACAATAAACTAACTAATTTAGATTTGCAATCTATTAACATAGATAAGTTAGAAGAATTGTATTTGAATAATAATAATTTTGCTAAGCAAGACTTATCTTTTTTGAGTCATTTGACTAGTTTAAAGAATTTATGGTTAGGAACTAATTTAAGGATAAGAATAGAAGAAGGCAGAGAAAGAGTTCAGCAAGGCATTTATAATCGCTTTTACGGCTCTTTAAAATTTTTACAAGAACTAACCACGTTAAAAGAACTCAATATTAACGACTCCGACCTAGAAAGCGGTTTAGAGTATTTACCGAACAGCATTGTTAGTTTTGATTGCTCAGCCGGTGAAAGAGAAGATGCCAAAGTAAAAATCATAAAAGAAAAATTAGAAAAATACAAATTCAGTTCTGGAACCTATGCCTCTGCACTGGAAAATTGAAAAATGGAAGCTTTTGCTAAACTTATTAAAGATTTAGAAACTAAAAAAGAGCAATTAGTTAAAAAGCTTGCTAGCCTTGAAGAATCAATTAAAGAGAAGAATAAACAAATTGAAGAACAAAAAGAAAAAATAAATGAAATATATTTTCTCTTCGGCGAAGAGCAAAAAAAAGATCTACAAGAATTAATTGAAGTCCATAGAAACTATCAAAAAAACACGACATTTAGAAAAAATTCTAACGATCTTTATAAACGAATGTCTGCTCTTCGAGAAAAAATAGAAACTGAGTCGAACAGAGAGTTTATGGAAATAGTAGAAATATTTCTTACCAATTTTAGAGAACTTTATCAAAAAGAATGGGATTTATGAAAGCAATTAGAAGAAAAGGAAAAAGTTTCGGTTTGCCTATCACAAATCGAGAGTGATGTAAAAGATATTAAAGACAATAAAATTCCTACTAATAATGATACACTTGTCAAATATTCAACAATAACTAACGATCCTATGCTCGGCAGAACCTTGGTTACGGGAAATTATGATAGCCTCGGTAATGTTAGCACTCAAAATCTTTCTAACGTTCTTTATTTAGAAGAATATTCGGCTAATTATACATTGATTGATGAACTAAAAAATAAATTAAGCAGTATTCAGTCTCAATTAAACCAAACTATTTACCAACTAAATGGCACCAACGACCAACTTGCTTCCTGGCAAAGTTGCTTTTTCTGACCGCAAGTAGTATCATGAGGTCATCCTGATTCATTATTTACTTTTCGTACTCAAATTAA